TTTTAACTCAGGGCCGCATGGGTTCAGGGAAATGTCTGACTGCGATTTCTGGATATTACATTTTTAGTTTAATGACTTTACTTTTGCACAAAAGCTTACATTTTATTCATATTCATATAATAGTTTTATTTTACAGGATCACATTTTTTAAACTGTGTGTGTTGAACAAAGATGCTAAATTTAAAAACAAACAACAAAAGCTTTGCTTATATTATTTTAGAAATAGTTACTTAAAGCAGATAATTTGTTTTGTGGGACATCGCAGAGAATTTAATGTTAGATGTGCGCTGTGAATGCCCAGGCTGTGGTGCCCAGGTTTCCTGCAACATATTTGACCTTTCTTATTTCTTATTCTTATTTCTCCTTTTTTCCTATTTCTTCTTTTTTCTCTCCTGCACACATTGCATTTCTTGAGACTGATTTTGTAGATAGATTCCTAGTGATGATACACACACACACATTAAGTATGATTATTTTGACAGATCAGACCTGTTGGTTCAGAGAGAGAACACCGACACACGTGACTTGCTTGTTGCGCAGAACGTGTGATTACAGTGCATCTGCGTTTGCATCCACAGCCTGTGTGCCGTCCTCAGCCTGTCTGACTCTGGACCCCGAGGACGTAGCCCGCCAGACCCCTCTGTCCCTGGGGTCCTCAGTGCGCGATGATGGTGTGTTTGGGCAAAGCGAACCAAGTGGCTGCACGTGTCCTCTGAGTGACAGCAGGCGCACTTTTAGTATTTACCATGTGTTGCGCTCAGTCGCTGAGTCGAGTCTGACTCTTGGTGACGCCACGGGTGGTAGCCCGCTAGGCTCCTGTGTCCATGGGGGTCTCCAGGAAAGAATACTGGAGTGGGTTGCCATTTCCTTCTCCACCATAGACCACGTGGTATCACTTAATTACCTGTTTAACAGCAGAAATTACTTAGATTTAGCCCTTTTAAATTCCTTGTTGTAAACAGTTTTCCATATATTTGTAGATGTATCTATTAAAGAGGTGAGTGTGACTTATGTTCATTACTGAAGGCATTAAACTTTTGTCATTTTGTTGTACTAGGTTCCTGAAATAATAATAGAGAATTACTCGTGGTGGCGTAACTATAGTTGTTGATTTCATCATTAAAGGATAACTCAGTGTTGTTGTTTTTTTTAATCTAGGAGAATAAGATTGCCTTTGAAGAAGAACACATTTTAAACTTTGCATTTTAAAGTTTGACTTTATAGCTATAGTGATCAGAACAATATTCAGTTAAAAAAAAAAAAGAATTAAATCTAGAGAATATGCCACATTTGCCTAAAGTGTCTGCTTCTAAAATACCTTCTATGGTGATTTGGATTGAATGCAGTCAGCGAAAGTGACCAACATTACTGAAAGACAAAAATAAAAAGCTACTCTTGAAATATGATAAGCTCAAAACTATGTATTTTCAGAGAGCATCTTTAATATAAATATGTCATCATTTTTATTTCACAGTGCCATTATAAAGGGGCTTCAGCATTCCTGAATAGAGTATAGGTGTAATTCACCTGGTCCCTAAGAGAAATGGACGCTGTTTGTGCAGATGGAGCAGATGCAATAGAAATGGCGAGGCAGCTGCCTCTAAATTGGCACCTCTTTCAGCTCTTCACCTCCCCTTAGTTGTTGGGCAGAAAGGAAGCTGCCCCCAGAGCTCTCTGTTGTCACAGAAGCATTGTGATGGCAGTTGGGAGCGGTGTCAGAGGCACTCCGGAGGCAGGAGGCGGGCTCTGAAGCATCCTGTCCTCACTCAGCCCGTGGCTGCCGGCTCTCAGGTTCTGCTCATGGTCCACTTCGGTTCTGAGGAAACCGGGGCGAGGGGGTGCTTAGGAAAGTTTTGACTTAACTGGGGTGGGAGACACGGCGGTGTATGTAGAGAAGAATCCTGTACCATGCCCTATGACCTTTCACATGAGTACTCTAGGTTCAAACCACGAAAAGTAACCTGTAACTTTATGTTAATTTTTAATGTTTGGGTTCAGATGCAGAACTGAATTTAGAAACGAGCTTGGGTCATGTATTAATATTTGAAAAACTTATAGAATTTACTGGAAACCATTCATCAGCTAACATGTGGATAAACACATTAGAGTGAAAGTGAAAATGTCAGTCACTCAGTCATGTCCTACTCTCTGTGACCCCATGGACCATAGCCTGCCAGGCTTCTCTGCCCATGGGATTCTCCAGGCATGAATTCTGGAGTGGGTTGCCATTCCCTTCTCTTGAGGAGTCTACCAGACCCAGGGATTGAACCTGGTCTCCTGATGGCAGGCGATGAGCCACCAGGAAAGCACACCCTGGGGTCACCCATACAGAGGGCTGCTCAGTCAGCTCAGCTCAGTCGCTCAGGCATGCCCGACTCTTTGCAGCCCCATGAACCATGGCACGCCAGGCCTCCCCGTCCATCACCAACTCCCGGAGTCCACCCAAACCCGTGTCCATTGAGTCGGTGATGCCATCCAACCATCTCATCCTCTGTCGTCCCCTTCTCCTCCTGCCTTCAGTCTTTCACATCATCAGGGTCTTTTCAAATGCGTCAGCTCTTCACATCAGGTGGCCAAAGTATTGGAGTTTCAGCTTCAGCATCAGTCCTTCCAATGAACACCCAGGACTGATCTGCATTACTCAGCAGTAAAAAGGAATGTTACCAATGCATGCAACAACATGGGTGAATCTTAAAAACATCATGCTGAATGAAAGATGCCAGACACGGAAGATCATATAGTGTATGACTCTGTATGAACTTTGAGGAAAGGAAAAAATATAGTTCGAGAAGGCGGAGCAGTGATTTCACCAGATGGGGTGGGAGGCAGAAATTGACCTCAAGAGGAATCTTTATGGGTAATGGAAATGTTCTATGAGGTAATTATTAAGACTGTATCTAATCTATTTGTCAAATCTTATCAAACTGTAAATTTAACATTAGTGAGCTTTATTGTATTTAAATTAAAATTAAAACTGGTTGAAAAGAATGTATGGTATAATTCATTAGTTGGGGAGGGGATCCTAGAACTTGTTAATTCCTGGAAGTGACCAGAAAAATTGTGGGACAGCTGAGCTTCATCCAAAATCTGGGATGAACATCAGGAAAAATGTAAAGTGGTGATGGAAGCTAAAAATGAGAACCCATGAGTTCTTCTTGATCACAGCTGTTTAATATAAAAACCATCCAGCCTAGTGCTTAGCACCTGGAAGCACTTAATAATTACTGAGCACTGTCATTTTTCTGTTGATGCTATTATTGTTATTATTTAGAACAGTGCATTATGAGTGTCTAGAAAACATTATAGAAGTTGTGAACAGAGAAAACCTTTATCCTACCTACTGGCGGAAAGAGTCTATGAGTTAACTGGTACTGATGATTTGAAATACACAAAAGGAGGTATAATTTATCAGTGACTGGTTTAGGCTCATTAGTGAACTGTAATGCATCACAGAAGCACATAGAGCATCTTTCACAGAGGTATTCTGAGCTTTTGTGTGTATCAAATCTTGTCTTAACTGACTCAGACCATGGTGAAGACTCTCAGAAGAACTTTGTATCGAATGAGAGCTAACAGTTCCAAAGTCTGCAAGCATTCAGCAGAATCAGTGGCTGGTGTATGACATTGAAATCATTTTGGAATGTTTTTTGGATATGTAAGAGACAGAAAGTGCCAACAAAGACTGTAGGAATATGAGGCTCCTGTTACCCTAATCATCATATATGTATACACAAAAGAGAAACTATAATAGCCAAGATTTGTTGACTTTTAATGTGCCTGGCATGTACTGCACTAAGTGATTTCAAGAATTATTATGACTAAACTTCATCACAAGCTTAAGAGATACATGCAAAAGAGCACAGAGATTGCGCAAGTTTTAAGAAGACAGTCAAAGTTTGATTCTAACATTTGGGAACCGTGGATGAGGACCCTGAAACGAACCTTGGTGACATCCCATTTTACCAGCCTTGGATTGCTGCTGTCATGCTTTGGGTGTCCCGTGTCCTGTCCTGGGAGTGGGATGCCGAGAAAGAACTGACGCCTGGACCAAACCCTCTGACCTCCAAGTAGTGAGGCCACAGGAGAGCAGTATGTGCTTGGTGGCCAGTCAGTGATTGTGGGAAGAACCATAGTTCCACATTTTTGAGTTCTTAGAAAGCAGAATTTGTGTGCAAGTAACCCTTGCTTTTTCAAAGTTTGTCTTTTATCACTGCGCTTTGACCAAAGACCTGTATTAGTACCTGTTTGCACTAACCAAAGCAAATCCGAAGAGGATTTACAAAAAAAAACAAAAAAAAGGACAAATGGTGGAAATGGTGTCCAGCCTTTGTTTTTGCAACAGCCCTTATTGAGTCGGCACAGACCCTGATCAGCAAGGTTGGTGTTGCCAGCTCTTTCTCCAGGGAAGCACACGCAGCGTCTCAGCGGCCAGCCACCAAGGCTTTTCGCTGTGTCTCTGAACCTCTGTGCTTTATCTCCATTTGCATTTTGCAGCCGTTAGCAAGATGGGTGCTAAAGGTAGTGGCTTCTCCTTTCAGATAGCAGGGGAAGCCCATGCTAGATTCTTTAGGCAGAAAAGATACCAAACATAGCAGAAGGTTAATTATCCATTTTCGTCTATTTTGAAGTCCATTTGATCAATGGTACAGACTCAATGCTGTGTAAGATTTCACACAGTCACGATAACTTGAGTTTTGATAAATCTTTAATTATATAGGAGGGTTATCAAACTGGGACCATTGTGGATCCTCAATGAGAGAAGCGGTTAGCATGCAGACTCTAATGGGTACATTTATCATTTCTTTATCACACTGTGCTTCCGACTCATTGTTGTCTATTTTCTAAGAAAGTAGAAATGCCGTTTCTTAGAATAAAAATGTTCTTTCTAGTGCAAGCAGTAGTTTGAAGCTATCCAGATTGGTTCTTTAATGAAACAGGCAACATTCCAATGGAATTGACAAGCTTTATTTCCATTTGTTGTATTTTTTTTGTCATTACAGATGGACCCGATTCAGAAAGCTGTAATAAATCATACTTTCGGGGTTCCTCTTCCTCATCGAAGAAAGCAGATCATTTCGTGCAACATTTGCCAGTTGAGATTTAATTCTGATGTAAGTTTACCGTTTAGTATTCACTGAAAAAATGCAGTTTGCTGTTCTAATCTTGCAGAAGAGATTTCTGAAACATTTTTCTCCAATGATTGAGCATGTCAAAATTCAAAGATAACATTTTAACTCCTGATGTGCTTTAATTTTGGAGTTTGTTATATTATGTTCGGTCATTTTCTATAGAAAAATCACACCTAAGCAAACTGCACTTGTGCTTTAATGGTATTTTTAGTCTCCCAGGAACGCCAAATTTAGATAACACACTTGTTTTTGGGGAACAGTCAAAATTTAGGACTAACGAGATTTTCAATAAATAACGTCTCTGAAATAAGGTAGGTCCCAGGTGATATTTCAAGGCCATGGTTTTGACGTTCTGAATTCTCTTTACCTGCTTTGATGAGGCTTAATTCCAGATCGGCTCTGGTGCCATTAACTGTTTTTGTGTTACAGATCTCAAGTCCCCGACCTAGAAGGACTAGCATTTTAACAGGGGATTCTAAAGACCTCAAAGGAGCCCAGCCCCTAATGAGTAGAAGTTAGGAGGAAACATGGCAGGAGGGAGATAGTGCAGACCTGACCCTTTGCATGTTTTTCACAGAGAGGGAGTTGCATCTTTTATACCTTTTCTAAGAGTCAAGCTTGACTCTGGATTCAACACAGAAGCTAATTTGGCTTGCAGCCCATATGGAAAATACTGCCACTCCTCAACCTGCCCTGGTGTGGAGTTGGTCCTGAGATAACAGAAAAGAAAAGGAATGCAGGTTTGGAAGGAACAAAAATTGAACATTTGTGGGTGCGCTTGGCAAACAGAGGACCCCAGCCTATCAGTGTGACCCCCCCCAGGGTGCCATGAGCTGGCCCTAAATTGATGTGCTGTATGGAGATGACCAAACAAATCTGGGTTCTAGAGAATGTTAGGCCTTCTAGCATTTAATCACCGTAGGCAAATAGGTCCCTTAGGTGATCTGATGATGAGGGTTGCATATGAGATAATCAGGCAGAGGAAATAGACGTGTCACAAAAAGAGTGGCTTTTTCCTTCTGTGAGAACATTTCATTTTGTATAAATTTTGCTATTGTCTTGTGATCTCATCCTTAAACTGGTACAATCACCAGGGTAATTTTATAACATTCCCTCTGCTGACTTAAAAACGTGGAGAGGAGTCTGCCTGCATAGCACTCAAATGGGCTACTATTAATATTGAAAGAATACAGTAAGCATACAGCATTTTATTTGAAAGGTTGTCTTTTGTTTTTGTTTGTTTGTTTCATTGTTTGTTTTTTAATAATTAGCACCTTGATTTGAATTTTAAGAAAACTACTATAGTTTGACTTACAAGTATTTCAAGTGATTAGCATGTAATATTCTCTCCCAGCTGGTACACAAAAAGTTTCCCTGACATACAAACAAGAGCTCTGAACTTAGTAATGCGGTCCTGATCGTTTCTCAATACTCGGCGAGCAGCTGTACATTTCCATAGTTGTTGAGTGTGCCCTTCTTTATTCTGGGACATTTCCCTTTGGAATTGGCTGGGTGATGTTGAGGAAGTCTTTTAGGAGCCGCATTTCCACTCCTTACGTCTAATGGGCTCCTTCAAATATCAAGCTTTCTGCCAGCAGTTTCACTGTTAATGTTTTTGTCCATGTTACGGAAACTTCCTGTGAACTGAAGTCTTAGAAAGAGATTTCAAGCTTATTTAACCCAATCTCCCACATATTGAAAGAAAACCATTGCCCACATCAAGACTGAGTCTGTGGGTTGACGACCTCCAGTAACGGGTAGCTCACCACTTCAAGACAGTTGATCCTTTTTTTTTTTAATGTCTTTTTAAGTGTTTCTACTAACCTTCCAGATGGATATAAAAATCAGATTAAAAAAAAACTAGAAATGCTGTTAGATATTCTTTAGGAAACACTATATTATGATTATTAACATAAGGAACATAATAAAACTAAAGATTTGCATACTTCTTTTCTAAAACGTAAAGTTATTTTATTTCCATCATAAGAGAGGATAAAAAAATGTATTTGTGTTCATTTGCTAATGAATTTTCAAGGTGATATAGGGACCAGGATGTATCTTTTAGGGAAATTGGTTCTCACTCTGACAACTGTGCTTTCAGATTCCTCTAAAAGGAGAAGTCCGCAGTGTTTGGAGGTGTGACGCGCATCAGTGTCAGTCACAACTGTGCAGTTGCAGGCTCGACTACTTGTTAGGTGCTGCTGTGTTCATCTTTTCCTGCTGCTCTGACAGAGTGCCACACCTTTAGTGTCCTAAGGTGACTCCGCTGTGTGGCCGCGTAGCTCTGGAGCCGAGAGTCAGAATGGGCCTCACAGGGCCGGAAGCAGGGTGTCAGCAGAGTGATGGCCCTGCGGGGGCCCTGGGGAAGTTTCAGTTCCTTGTCTTTCTTTTCTAGAAGCTGCCCTCTTTCCTTGGCCCGATACCCACTCCCATCCTCAAGACTACAAGGCCGACTGAGCTCATCTCATATGGAATCGCTCTCTCTTCTGCCTCACCCTTCCACATTTAAGGACCTTTGTGATCACAGTGGACCCACCTAGATAATCTAGAATAACTTTTCTATTTTAAATTTATCGGCTTGGCAACCTACTTTCCTCTGCTGGCTTAACCCCTTTGTCATGCACTGAACATGTCCGTCATTCCAGGGATTAGGACCTAAATATCCCCGTCATGCCTTCAGTAGGTACTCATGTGGATGTTTGGTTCAGCTTTGGACTGAATAGCATGGCCACCTGAATGTGTCCAATATTCGCACAGGCCAGTTCTTTGATCTGTGCAAACTGGACACATGCCTTCATTGCCCTTACATTTTTCCTTGTCTTGAACCTTGAATATAAACTTACTATGCTGTGCACATTTTTTAAATTATATTTTTTTTATGTAGGAAAAAAAAATTTTTATGTATATTTTTTTTATATTATTGAGTTTATGAATGACATAGCAAACTATTAACTATGATGTACAAGCAAAATATAATTATTGCAAAATTGAAATATAGGAGTGGAAATTCCTTTAGAGACCTTAAAAATGTCTCTATGGCATTATGATGTCAATAAAGGGAAACTAATGTGCTGAAAATATAAGATTTGTTTATTCATTGACTGGGCATTTCTATAAATACCAGTTTCATGAAATATTTAATACTGAATGCCAAGATAAATTGGATTTATGATCCATTCATTCATATATAAATGTCTCTAAATAAAGAGAAAATACATATATATGTGCATATAGATCATTTTATTCTTCAAAAGCTTTAAATCCCAATAAAACTGCCTGTTTTATCATTTATCATCCTGTTTCCATTCTTAAACCTAGAATCTGGAAAAGTGACGCTGTAATTCACTTGTATGCTTGGTTGAATCCTCTGTCACATAAGAAAGTATTTTTGCCTTATGAACCTTTTTACATTTCAAAGCTTCTTCCTCTTCCAATGAAAATAATAGCTTGTAGTTCTTTTCATCTCTGCATCATGAAAATTCAATTTCCTTTCCCTCTAAGCTTTTATTTTTTTTTTAACCCTTCATGTTATAAAGCCTGTAGTTTGGTGTTATACCATACATGTTTCCTGTGCAGTACATTTTCCATTTTTCGCCCTATGGATATTTTTCTAAGTAGCACATTATATTGTATGCATTTTAAATCAGATTACCTTCGCCTGGTGCAGGCATTCACTTTGGGGAAAAAATGAAACTCTTTTTGGCATTTATGTGGGACACACATGGAGTTATGCAAAAAGGCTTCCAATTAAAGAATGAGAAGTTGTAATTTGACCAATTATTTTATCAACATCTTAAAATAAGTGTAAATTACCATTGGCCTGGACCAGTTAGGAAGTGTGCCTTTGAAAGACAATTTACAGCAAGTCTAGCGTGGCTGTGAGATTATTAAGTGAGGTAGAGTATGATTAATTACTCAATGACTGTTTACAGAATGGGAAATAAGATCTCAGGCCCCGAAACTGAGGGGTCACAAACTTGTAGTATCTAAGTGGCACTCTGGTGGCCGTCCCCCAAACAGCACTTACTGGTATGTTAGAGACGGAAGAAAGCTTGCTCATTTCAAGGTGGAGACTAAGGCATGAAGTGCGGAGGAGGCTTGTCCAAGGCCGCATGGCAGAGGCTGGCCACGCCGGGTTGGTGTGAGTGTCCAGGCCGCTTCTGCCTCACCTGCTCCAGGCAGGGCGGCACGTCCACCCAGAGAGCCAGCCTCCCCTTCAGAGATGGTGTCGCTGGTGTCCTGGGTGTCTCCCGCCCAGCCGTCCCAGAGAGAGGGTCCCAGGCCTCCTTGCCCGGTGGAATGACCTGGGCAGTCAGTCCACTGTGCTGGGCCGTCCTCCCCTCGGGCTCTGCTCCCTGCAAGGTCTGCAGAGCCTTCCCAATGCCCCTTCACTCACACAGTTAGTCATAAACACAAGGAAAACCCAAGTGTCATTGTACACCCCCGAACTAGAATACAGCAGGAACAAATCCTGTGTGACTCAAGACAGCCAAGCGTTAATGTCTCCAGGGGACTGTTTGATGAAGCAGAGGGGAGCAACCTCCTTAGAAGACACTCCTTACAGATTGCAAGCCCCTCCAGAGGGAACCCTCGGGAGCATCACCAATATAACTGATACATTTCCCGACGGTATTGTAAAATAGAAATCATCCTTGTTCTGCATTTTAGAACCCAGAAATATAGTGGAACCAAACAATACATTTGAATATAGTTCCTATCTCTGTTGAAAACTTCCATAATCAAACATGGCATCATAATGATGAAGATGCTAATGGGAGTATTTTTTCTTACCAAATGACCAAACTTAGATAATTACACTGTCTTTAACATAAGATCTTAGGACACATCTTTTAAATATTTAAATCAATAATATGGGGGGTGGATAGAGTCCTGATATTTAAAGAAAACACTGCTTAGACGGAGAGAAAAACAAAAACTCATACTTGTTTTGGAGTGGAAGAACTATTTATTCTTTTGTTTTT